CACACACACACACACACACACACACACACACAGAGAGAGAGAGAGAGGGTGGAAGAGGAGAGGCTCACACCTTTAATCTCAGCACTTGGGAGGCAGAGGCAGGCAGATTTCTGTAAGTTCAAGGCCAGCCTGGTCTACAGTGCTAGGCCAGCCAGGGCTACATAGTGAGACTCTGTTTCAAAAAACAACAAAAAGAAAAACAAATAAGAAACAAAAAACCTTGAAGATGTTAATAAATGGAATTCAGCAAAAACAAACACACAAACAAACAAAAGAACATGCTGTGACCAACCAAGGATGTGAATCCAGTTTAACATTTCAAAATCAGTGTGATCATTGCATGAACAGAATGGAGAGAAATTCCGTATTTATTTTAATAGACTCAGAAGTATCATTTGAAACATTGTGTAACTCCTCTTACAATTTAACCTTTAGAAGAAAATTTCTGACAGCTAGGATAAGCTTTAAAATAAAACACATCTAATCACAGCTAATGTCACATTTAGTGCTAAGACAATACTATCTATGATGGAATACAGGATGTCTACTTTTACCACTTTTTTAAAAAAATAGAGCAAACAGATTTGTTAAAGTGAAAAAGAACTCCTAAGATGCCTGGTGGTAGTAGCACACACCTTTAATCCCAGCAGTCAGGAGGCAGAGGCAGGCAGATCTCTGTGAGTTCACGGCCAGCCTGGTCTACACAGCAAGTTCCAGGACAGCCTCCAAAGCCACAGAGAAACCCTGTCTCAAAAAACAAAACAAACAAAACAAAAAAAAGAACTCCTAAGAGTGGGAGGGGTTCCCCACTTGTATTCAAAATTTATAGGCCCTGGCCAGTGCAATAAATGAAGAAAAAAATTAAAAGGCAGTTGGGCATGGTGGTGCATGCCTTGGCAGAGGCAGGTGGATCTCCTGAGTTCGAGGCCAACCTGGTCTACATATTGAGATCCAGGATAGTAAGGACTACGTAGTAAGACCTTGTCTAAAAGAAAAGAAGACTAAAAGGCATATAGGTTGGCAAAGAAGAAGTAAAATTGTCTTTATTTTCAGATGGGAAAATTGTATACACACTATCCCAGAATAGTCATCCCAAAACAAGTGGTGGTAAATGCATTTAAGTAAGGTCACAGAATAAAGATCAGAGGCAAAATATTTCTATATATGACTAATGAATAATTAGGACATGAAAGTTTCATTTCTAATAGCATTAATACCCATGGAATCTCTAAGAAAAAACTTAATGGCACACGAAAGCAAGGGTAGCAGCACTGGGAATCGATCCCCAGTCTGGGCATGGCAAGAGAATAGCAAAGATGTTGGGGCCCTTAGTTTTGGTGGGATACTCAAGAACCAGGACATGTAAAGCATTAGAAAAGCACAAAGCTTTTAGTGCAACAAACTCCACAAGTTTAACCAGACAGTAAAATGCACACTTTTACTACTCAAGGACAAATTGGATGTTTGTTACCAGTGCTTCACAGGGGCATGTAGTGTGACTCGTGACTCAAACACAGAATCACTATAAGCCTGGGTTATAACCCTGGGTTACTTTTGAAGACACTTGGTTACACAAAAATTTGCTTCTTAAAATGGGGCCTTCCTCCCTCCTCAAATACTTTTACTTTGTTCCCTGTTTCTGCTTTTGGGGTTTTCTCACTGTCTGGGTACCACAAAGCTTGGCTTTGTTAGACATTACTGCCACAACCAGTACCTTGGTCTACAGCTCAATTTGGGGCATCTATAGCTCACTTGCAGGGTCTAAGGACAGCCAGCCTAGTAGGCAGTCACATGAAAGCAGCTCACAGGTATCGGGCAAGGCCTGCACATACCCACCCAAGATGGAGGTGGGGGGTTCTACTGAACTCTTGGGAGTGCTCACTTCCAGCTAGTGGACTAAACTTTAAGACACTCATTTGCAATTTACAAGCACAATAGCCACTTTCTCTTGGGGCTCTGGGGAAGTTCAGAGGGACAGACTAACAGTTATTGCAGGCCTAGGCTGCAGATATGTTATTTAGCTCTCAAGGGAGCCAGTGCCTACCATACAAACAGCCCCATTTGCCTCCACCGGGCCTGTGTAACTAGCAGTCTTCTGTCATGTACTACCTTAGGTGCTCTGCTTGCCTTGCTCCCAAATACTGGCCTGAGTTGGCCTGCCCTATTAGCTTATAGCAGGCTCTTCCTGTATTCACACCCTGAGAACAGCAGGTTCACCACTCTTTCTCCTTTGCCAGAGTACGCCCCACACCTGACTCCTTTGGGCTACTGTGGAGGTTGCACACCATGAGAACTTCCAACCATGAGAACTTTGACATCTGAGTCTGAGGGAATTTGCCTGGGTGGACAAATCAGCTCTGAAATTCGTCACTTTCTTCAGGTCCCTGTCTGTTTTTAGGTTCTAAATCCAAGCCTATGGAAGAGAAAATACCTCTTAGCAAGTTGGGGACAACTTGTCTTCCAAATGCCCTGGGCTTGAAGGCTAAACCATGACTACAGAACTCATTCTTTTTTTCTGTTTGTTTTTGTCTGAGACAGGGTTTCTCTATGTAGTCCTAGCTGTCCTGGCACTTCCTCTGAAGACCAGGCTGGCCTCAAACTCACAGATATCTGTCGGCCTCTGCCTCCCAAGTGGTAGGATTAAAGGCATGCACCACCACCACCTAGCTCAGTGCACTGTTTGGATCCAAAGTGGTTTTTTTTTTGTTAGTTTGCATTTTGAAAACAAGGTATTTTTTTATATGTGTTTATGTGTATGTCCTGAGTGAGTCTTATGTGCACTATATGTACACAGGTGTCTGTGGAGGCCAGAAGAAAGACTCAGATCCCCTGGAACTGGAATTATAAGTAGTCGTGAACTACCTAAAGTGGACTCTGGAAACTAAGCCAAGTCATTTGTAAAAGCAGTGTATATACACTTACTCACTGAACAGTCTCTCTAGCCTGCTAGTTTGCTTTTTGAGACAAGGTCTCATGTATTCTAACCTGGCCTCAAACTTTCTATGTAGCCAAGGATGACCTTTACAGGCACAGTATCATGCCCAGCAGTTTTTCAAATAGTATTTGGAGTGGGACTTCACATTTTCTGGGTACACGTGGGAGGAGATTGTTACCCACAGGTGAAGGGAAGGTGCTATTGGTGGGGAGTAAGGGATTGAGCAAGGCATCTCTTGACAGATGCTGAGTGCAAGTTGGAATGGCTTGCCTGTCCTACATTCTTGGTAAGTGGGGACCTTAATTGTGCAGCCAGAACAAATGTTCTGCTGTTTAGGGTTGGCACAAGGAAGTATGCCTGGGTGCTCTGGAGCTGCAATGTATGAGCTTGTGTACATATGTGTATGATGGGGTGGGGGAAGAAGCTTTTCTGGGGGCCCACTTTTTAGGAAGCTAAGCTGGAGATATCCCTAGATACCTGGGAAAGAGCCTGATGACAGAAGCTGCAGGCTATCCAAGAGTCCCTCCTCATACAGGGCCAGCTTCTGTACCATCTTCTGTCGGGCTGGGTTGATGATGATCTGTGGTGGCTCTGATGACAGGGAGGAGGAACTGCCCATGGATGAGCCTGGGTAGAGACAGTAATCTCTTAGTTGTCCCTGGCAACCTTGAGTGACACTCTAGTCTCCAGAGTCTTTCTAGCCCCCACTGCCTATGATGTTGGCTGTGGGGTAGAATTCCACAGTCAGCTGAGGCCCAGTCTGGAAGAGGGGATCACACCACAGACCAGCTTCTCAGGCTGCCTGGGCAGAGCCTGCTTCACTTTTGACTTCAGGCTTGGGGTGAGGAGAAAGAAGGGAGCTCCTAGTTCTTCTCACCCACAGGGGAGCATGGTCCAGGGAAAGGAAATAAGACAGTACCAAGTCATTCTTTGTGGCCCTTTCCATGGCCTTGAACTTGCTAAGAACACAGTGGACCAAAATGTGTTCTAGATCCCTCTGCCCAGAAGACATACTGGAGAATAAATAGGTTGTTAGAAGAGATCATTGTCTAACCTCTGGATACCCATCCCCAGAGTTACCTTCCATAGTTGTGGGCTGGAAGCCTGTGACAATCCTCAAACTTGATTCTTGGGTGGTACTCCCCCGGGTACAGCCAGCCTCTCTGAAGGATGATGGGCTTGGGTGGCTACCTGGAGTCAAGTGCCAGGAGTGCAGGGCAGCAGAGAGGCTGGGAACACTCTCATCACTCTCTACTGGCTGGTTGGGGCTTTTCTGGAGCTGCCGAGCAGCCTGGAGTGGGGCTCTTGTGGGCACTACCAGAGGCTGCCATGGTTCACCCCCACTCTGGACACTGCCAGTGGTGGACATGTAGGAGTTCTCCTGTGGGGAAGAGGGGCCGTGGCTGGCAACCTCTAGCTCCCAAGGAGGCCCTGCCTGCAGCCACTCTAGTCTCTTGTACACCTGTGTGGAGAGAGAGGCTCTTAGGATAGGCAGAGCTGGTGCTCCTGGTTGGGCAGGGCAGCCCACACCTGACACCCTGTGGTCAAATTACAGAGCTGCTCCAGGTTGTCCTAAACTTGCTTGTGTTCAGGTTGCCACCACAGGCCCCATACAGCTGTAGGAATAGCAGAAAACACCAAGTTGGTGCACTCTACAGCTGGGAAAACAATGCCCTTTGTTCTTTTGTCTCATCACAAGGACTGTTGCAATTCATGGCCACCAAAGCCATGAATTAACTCTACTCTCAACTATCACCAGAATAGGTTAAGAGTAAAAGACAAAGGTAAGTGGCACAGTGCCCCAACTAGAAGGCACCTTTTCCTTCTACCTGTGACTGGGATCTGAGCACCACCTAGCAAAGCAGCAACCCTTCAACACTTAGTTCCGCAGAGCACCACCCCAAACAGAGCCAAAGGGCAAGCAAGCAATGTTGGGAATTTTGACTCTGTAAAGAAATCAGGCTATCAAGCAGGACAAGAATTGGAGGTTTCAGGCTGGCTACTATGTCACCATGGATAGCTAGCTTCCCTAGGGTTACCTGGGTCATGGGTGGCCTCTTCTTGGCCCGACGGTGCATGCAGCAACAAGCTAGTTGAGCCAGGGCCAGGCCCAACTTCGGTGGGCAGGGTCCAGGTCTGGAGTCCAAGTGCTTCTTATAGATCTGGGCAGCGATTGGAGTAGCCCAAGCATCTGTGGCCACATCCACCTGTAGAGTGGCCTGGGTGCTGTTCAGGGCCACTCCAGCTTCTTCAGCCTCATCTTCAATCAAGTCTTTCTGTAGGACAAATACTGTGAGCATGGCTCTGCCAAATCTTCCAGACCTATGGTGTTCTTTCACTGGGTTCATTAAATACCCACTGTGTGCCCAATGCTGTCTGGGGCTCTACTGAAAATAGACATAAACTACTCTGGCCCTTGTTTTATACACCTGACATTCCTTTGCAGTGGGGGAAATAGATGCCAACAAACTTATTAGTCTGTTAGTAAGGCCCATGGGGCCTAAGCAAGTGGCACTTGAACTGGGATGTGCTAATAGATGCAGAAGATTAAAGGAAGGAAGGATGAATAGTCTGGTTCACAGTTTGTTGGTTGGGTTAAATTCCCTGCTGAGCCCAATAGTGGACAAAAATAGGCTCATCAGGAGAAGCAATGGGAGATGTACAACTCTGTAAAAGGGGAAGACCCAGCATTAGCCAAGCATGTTCCAGGCCCAGAAATTGCCAGAATAGTGATTATGTTTAATTAAACTGTTTTATGTATGGGAAAATGGGGCTCAATGAAGAGCAGGAATTGATCCACGGCCACTATCAAAGATGGGACTAAAACCCAGGTTTCATGTCTCTTCTTTGTATGTTTGTTTAAGACACGGTCCCATATAGGTTAGGCTAGTCTTGAACTTACTATGTAACTGGGGATAACATTGAATTTCTGATTCTCTTGCTTCTGCTTCCCAAGTGCTAGGATTATAGGCATGTGCCACCATAATCAACTAATTTTGTGTTGTTTTTGATATAGGGTCTTGTTATGTATCCCCAGTTCCCAGCAATCCTCCTGCCACAGACTCTTGAATGTAGGGACTAAAAGCATGTACTCAGATGCTAGGCTTTAAGTCTCTTATTTCTTTTTGTTTTAAAGACTTATCATGTATACACTGTTCTGCCTGGATGCCAGAAGAGGGCACCAGATCTCATTACAGATGGTTGTGAGCCATCATGTGGTTACTAGGAAATGATTTCAGGAACTCTGGAAGAGCAGCCAGTGTTCTTAACCTGGGAACAGTTTCTCCAGCCCCCAGTCTCTTATTTCTTAGCCCCATCTCAGTCCACAGCAAGGCAGACAGGAATACAGGATGGGTCAGGATGACTTAGAGCTAATTGTACAACAGCTTGCCTAACTTTTTCCCATTGCCTTTCCTGGGTTCCATTGCAGCTTTGGTTCCAGGGTATCAGGAATGTCCCTTTCTTTGTCCACAGCTCAGGGAAGAGGGGGACCTATAAAGCTTCTTTTTCCTGCTTTGTTGGAGATGGAACCCAGGGCTTTGCACATAAGGTAATCAATGTATCACTGAGTACATCTCTAGCCCGAAGGTCCATGTACAGAAGAAAGACAGGTTTTCCAAGTACAGTAAAAGAAACTGCTTGGGGACTCACCCACTTCCAAAGATGAGTCAGCAGCAGCAGTGGCAGGCTGCTGTGGGGCACTGCAATGGATCTGTATAATTCTACCCTCTTGGGCTGTACCCGCTGGTTATGTCCCTCCCTCCATGCCCCACCTCAGGAGTCTCACCAGATACTTCGTCTTGGTACCTTGTGTCCTCACAGCCCTCTGACCAGAAAGGGTCTCGAGTATTACCTAGAGAGGGTGGGATGGAGAGCATCACCCTAGGTCTGTGCAGAAAAGAGGACTATAGAGTTGGAATGGATCAGGGCTGGTTTGAGAGTGGCCCTGGGACAGGGAGGTAAAGACTACCTCCCAGGAAAGACAGAGTTATGTTATGGGACCAAAGCTTAAACAATTCAGAGTGGCTATATGAAACAAAAGGATGCAAAATTACAAACACGATTTAGTACAAGGGAGGAGGGAGCTCTAGGCTTTTCTGCCTTTACTTACTGGTTGTTTTCCCTCCCCAAGCCAACAGAAGGGCTGGTGGCTCACCACCCCAAAGCTGAAGGTATCGGTGTCCACAGCCAGCCGGCCCGTCTTGATGTACTCCTCAGGCAGGTAGGCGAGGGTACCCCGTACTGTGCAAGTCCGGGCTACAGTACTGCTCTGGCTTGGGTTGGCCCCTGCAAAGCGGCTGAAACGAGCCAGGCCAAAGTCTCCCAGCTTGGGCATCAGTCTCTCATCCAGAAGCACATTAGAACTTGGAGAGGGAAGAATGGAACCAATTTAGGCTGGTCATAGCCTCCTCTGTCCCCCACACTTGAGTATCCCTGATAAACTAGACTAAACCTGGCACACTGATTATGGAAAGTGCATCCCAGCTGTCTGAGGGATAGCTGTCCTACAGCCCCATCACATACTTTGGCTTCTGCTCACCACCAGGGCCTATCACTGACTTCATTTCCATACCTACACCATGCAGGGGGTGCTCAGAGCCCTAAGGACTCTCAGCTCTGAGTTCCCAGGCAGCATTTGTCCCCATATCCACAGGACTGGGCAGGAGGATTCTCACAGGGGCACTCGGAACAGGACTGCTCATTGAGCAGGGGTCACTGTTCCTCTATCTACAGACTCTTCCTACAGCTCTTCTGAGCACCTCCTCACCTTTTGATGTCTCCATGGATGAGGCTGGGGCTGTCCTGATGTAAAAACTGAATAGCCCGGGCTGTGCCCAGAAGAATGTCCAGTCGTTGAGGCCAGGATAGGGGGGAGCAGGCCTGGGTCTGGAGTGGCAAAGATGGAGGCACAGAGGCAGCTGGGGGCAGCTGTTCCTTGACTTCCATCCTTCCCCTCACCTGTCTCTCTGTGGCTTGGAGCAAGCTATCCACTTTATTCTCTGAGCCTCAGTTTTCCTTTCTGGAGAATGAGGAGCAAGACTGTCCATGACCTAATTCATGAGCAAGTAGTAACTAAAGCTATTCCCAAGGCTTTAGTAAACAGTCTACAGATGGAATAATAGCTAGGGAACATTTATCAGGACTCAGGACAGAATCTGATGGACTCAGGTTCACCTGCATGCACAGAAAAGTCCCGATGCCCTTCTCCTTCTCCTTCTCCTTCCCTAACACAGCTTAACTGAGAAGTAAGGAAGTTCTTAACCTGTATGTATGGTGGCTTGTGAGTATGACACTCAGGCATGGCTCAACCTTGGGTTTAATTAGCCTGTTTCTACTCATCCCTATTCCTCAAGAGCTATGTGGATTAAATCCTCTATCTATTCTTCTTCCAAAGGCATAACTCCCTCTTTAGAGCAGCAGCCAGGGAAACTTGTATGGAAAATCTTGGGCCAAGATGGGTATAATGGTACATGTTTATGATTCAAGCACCGAGGGGACTGAGGCAAGAGAATTGCCAGTTTGAGGCCAGCTTGGGCTGGGTAGTGAGGCATTGTTTCAAACAAACAAACAAACAAACAAACAAACAAGCAAGTAAAAAAGAAGAAAGAAATCCTTGGGCCAAACCTTGAGTTTGAGGGGGAGCCTGAAGCCCAGGTCCTGCCTGACATAGGCTAAGGGGCTAGGCCAGTAAAGATATGAGACCAGCTGGAACTACCTGAAGATGGAGTCGATCCTCCAAGGAGCCATTGGGCAGGAAGCCATAAACAAGGCAGTAGAAGCCACTTTCTGCACAGTAGCCAGCAAAATCCACAATATTTGGGTGACGAAACCTGTTACAAAGAGTGTAGTCTGAGTACTTTGTTGTTGTTTTCAAGAAAGGGTTTCTCTGTGTGACAGCCCTGGCCATCCTAGAACTCTCTGTAGACCAGGCTGGCCTTGAACTCACAGAGATCCACCTGCCTCTGCCTCCCGAGTGCTAGCATTAATGGCGTGTGCCACCGTTGGGCACAGTCCATGTTCTTTAGTTCTCTGGGCCCCACTACTTTTCATCAGGCTAGGCTGGATAAACAGCCTTTGATGTTCCCTCACCTGGGTCTGGCAAGGCCTTGAGGGCCCAAGGGAGCCAGGTCTTGTGCTGTGCAGTTCTAGAGACTGATGAGGCCCTTGTGTGGTTCTCTCCTTGTGCCCCCAGACAGGAGGACCCCCAAGGCTCACCTTGACAGCTGCTCCACCTCTGTTAGGAAGCTCTGTTTCACCACAGTCCACTCTAGGTCAGCCTCCTGCAGCCCCAGACATGGTGGGGTAAGAGGCGGGGAAAGTAGGCAGCATGAGCCAAGCTTGCCAGCTGTTTCCAGGCCCATAACAATGGAAGGTTTGGGGGTCCCTGTACTGGAATCAGAGGACTGAAGGAATTGCTTGGGGAGGCTGGAGGCAGGGGACTAAAGAAGTGAGGGCTGATGGAGGGAGGAACTGGACAAATACGAACTGAGTACAGTCCCCTGCCTCCACATTTATGTCTCTTAATAGGGCCTTGTTCTGTCCCCATGTGCATAATGTCATTTTTGCCATTCCTTTCCCTTTTGTGTCTTCCAGGTGACTACCCTACTGTTATACCTACCTCCTTCAGTCTCTTCACAGCATATGTGGTATTTCTCATTACTGCCCGGTACACACACCCAAAACCACCCTCTCCAATCCTCAGCTCTTCAGAGAAGTTGCAGGTGCCTTGGGAAATCTCACAGAGGGGCCAGCAAAATGGGGAGGTATGTGTCCTTTGGAGGCCAGACTCTGGGCTCCCTGGGCTTGGCTGTTGGAAGAGACCAAGGATCAGGTGAGGATCCTGCCTATTCCCTTTGATCCTGGCTGCAAAGTCCCTGGCTTGCTGTTGTGGGTTCACCAAAGGCTGAGTTTCTTCCTCCTTGTCTGGAATTTTCCCTGGGGGTTAAAGAACACTTACCTTGTCAGAGGAAGGGGCTGAAGATCGCAGTGGTGGCCTGAGGGAAGCCAGGATTGGAACTGGAAGGAGCTCTGCCTCAGAATAGGTCTGGGAGCCTGGAAAAGCTTCATAAAGATGCTAGTGAGAGGCAGAGACCAGCAGCAGTCTACAGCCATGTCAATAGTCATGGTGGCCTTTTCCTCAGGCCTATCAAACCCAACACCCATTTTCTTTTTACCTGGGGAGAGGAAGGTGGAGGCAGAGCACTGCAGTTTCTCTGGGCTCCAGACCTCGGCCTGGGAGCCTGCAGAGATGCTGCTGGGTCGTGGAGCAGCAGTGCTTGGGGGCAGAACAGGGGCAGGAGGGTGCCCTGTGATAACAAGGAAGGAAAGGAGGGTTGTGACTCAGGTCTGTCTCTGACTCTCTCTTTGTGTGTGTGTGTGTGTGTGTGTGTGTGTGTGTGTGTGTGTGTGTG